ACCAGCAGTGAAGGAGAATCCCTTTCTCGTCACATCTGCGCCAACACCGGTTGCTTTTGGTCTTTTGGATGTGAACCAGTCTCTGTGGTGTGAAATGACACCTCATTGTTGTTTTGATCTGCATCTCCCTGATGATTAATGATGTAGAGCATTTTCTCATGTGTCTTTTAGCCATTCAGATTTATTCGTTGAGAAAGTTTCTGTTCATTTCGTCGCCCCATTTTTTGATGGGGTTGATTATTTTCTTCTTGTGGAGTTCAACCAGTACCTTGTATATCCTTGATATCAACCCCTTGTCGGATGTGTATTCGGTGAATATCCTTTCCCAATCTGTAAACTGTCTTTGTATTTTGGTCACTGTTTCTTTTGAGGTGCAGAAGCTTCTTGGTTTAAGATAGTCCCATTTGTCTATCTGTGTTTTCACTTGCTTGGCCAGTGGCGTGACATCTTTGAAGATACCATTAGCTTCAATGTCATGGGGGGTTTTGCCAACTTTGTCTTCAATGTAACCTTATGGATTCCGGTCTGATGTTGAGGTCTTTAATCCATTTTTATCTTACTTTTGTACTTGGTGTTAGGGACAGATCTGAGCCCACTTTTCTGCATGTAGCTGTCCAGTTTTGCCAGTACAATTCGTTAAAGAGGCTTTCCTTGCTCCACTTCACATTTCTTGCCCCCTTATCGAAGATTAGATGATCATATGCTTGGGGGGAGATGTCAGTATATTTGACCCTGTTCCATTGGTCTGCAGCTCTGCCTTTGTCTGGAACATCCATTTCTTGACTCCTTTCTGATTTGAAATTGCATTGTTCCAAGCCCTTCTCTACTACTATATTTCCTACTTAATTTTGCTCTAAAGCACTCATAACTGAGACTTGATATTTTAATTATTTATGTTTTACCAACTAGAATATAAGCTCCATGAACTACTCATTGATGTGCCTATGTTCCTGGAATGGTGTCTGGCATATCAGTGGTGCTCCTAAGTATTTTTCAGATGAATAAACCCCATGAGGAAGTACTCATCATGTTACACATTATGATTCTGAGACACAGAAAGGGTAGGCAACTTACCTAAATTCAGGGAGCCATTTATTCCCAAGAATCAAATTATTTTCTTGTGTTAAGAATAACCTGGGATACAAGAGAAGAAGTCTGCGATTCTTGTTTCTCTAGCACCAGATACCCATGAAGCCAAAGTATCATAGGCATTATTGGGTCATATGCACAGATTCTGATCCTAACACCAGGAGGTCCTACCGGAATGATGATCACTGGATGCCACCTGTGGGCAGGGTTCATGTAGACAGTAGTCCCAGAATGGTGAGCAATAGTGGGCCTTTGGGGGAAGTACCTTTCTTGGTGGTGGGTGAGTATTGGAACTTTGGTTGTTAGTGCAAGGAATCTTATACACTTAGGAAGATGTTAAGCTATACTCCTGAAATTCTATATTATAAAGAGAGTAAATCAATAAAAGGGAAAATAGACCTATTTAATTCACCAATTTAAGTGAATTAATTAACCAATTTAATGGCCAACCTCAGCTGCTATGGATTATGCCATTAGAATGAGAGTGGATATGATCATACAAGTCAGTTGTCCTCTGCTCCATTTCCACCTGAGTCCAATGTGTCCCTGTTCAGTGGGTGATATGTTTTGATAAAGACATAAAAAAGAACAAGTTCTGTACTCACTTCGGCAGCACATATACTAAAATTGGAACGATACAGAGAAGATTAGCATGGCCCCTGCGCAAGGATGACACACAAATTCATGAAGAGTTCCATTTTTTTTTTTTGCAAACCACAACACCCAAAAGGAGAGAGAGAGAACAAAAGGGAATGCCCTACCACAGAGGCAGGGTGGGATGCGGGGCGGGGGGGGGGGGGGAGAGATACTGGGATCCGTGGTGGTGGGAAATGGGCACTGGTGGAGGGATAGGTATTTGATCATTGTATAATTGAAACCCAAGCACAAAAATTTGTAAGTCTACAACTGTATCTCATGGTGTCTCACTAATAAAAATTAAAAAATTAAAAAAAAATATTTGCTCAAGCGGGCCCAGTAATGTCTTCATCCTGAGACTTGTTGTTACTGTGTTTGGCATATTGATTATGTCATGGGTAGCTTGCCAGGCTTTGTCTTGCGGGCGAGATGCTCTCAGTAGCTTGCCGGTTTCTTGAGAGGGGCGGAGGAATCGAACCCAGCTCGCTGGGCGGGCTGTGCGCAAGGCAAATGCCCTACCACTGTGCTATCTCTCCAGCCCGTTAAATATATAATTAAAAATTTTTGATTTACAAAAAAAAAAAAAACAAGTTCCCTCCCAGAGATCCCACATTTTCATTATTTCATGTGGAGTGACTTCTCACTGTTTCTTTCACATTTGTTTACCAGTTTTACAGGATTTTTTTTTTTTTTGCATTCAAAGTATGCTCACAGCATATCTCATACTCTACACCACTGATGTACCAAGAGTAGCATACCACATTTGATGGGGTATAAAGTAGAAGGCAACCAATCTTGGGAAGAAAAAAAAAATATATATATATATCACAGCAAAGCCTGACAAGCTACCCATGATGTATTCAATATGCCAAACACAGTAACAAGTCTCACAATGTTACTGGGCCCGCTCGAGCAAATTGATGAAGAACGGGAGGACAAGACAGTGATATATATATATATTCAATTAAAAAGCAAAAATATATATAATATATATTAGCACACAAGGCTTAACCTTTAACAACATGTTAGCAATATCTCATACAAGGGTTTAATGGTTCCAGAGGGAAATACAGTTATATTTACACACTTTCCTCTAGGGAAACTTTTTTTGATCATTTTTAGTGGATTTTTCAAAATAAGCAGTACAAAATAAATTATTTAGGTCCTGCTTTGGGGGCAGACTTTGGGGGTTGGGGTGGGAACATTCAAAATATGGTGGTGGGGAGGTATAATGGTGGTGGGATCAGTGTTGGAATATTAAATGTAATAAATTATTGTGACAACTGTTATAAAAATAATATTTTAAAATAACAAAATATGTTCTTATCTACTCTCTCATTTGTTCCTTATCTCAGCCCCGAGTGCTTTAATGATCTTCATTTTGAATAGGAGTGAATGAGGGACTTGTCCAAGTTCCAGAGCTGACAAGAGAGACCTAGGACTGTCCTGCTTCTCCCACCTCAATTTCTATTACATAGGCCCAATAACTACTAACCATGGTCTCAGTATTCTACTAAAAAACAAAACAGTTCCTTGCAATTTACTCCAATCACCTCACTTCTGAGACTGATTTTGAGAGGTACTCATTAATATCTATATTTGTTTTTAATTTTATTTTCATAAAGTTGTTCACAATAATTGATTACATTCAATATTCAACACCAATCCCGCCACCGTTATACCTTCCACCACTATTATTTCAAAATTTCCCACCACCTCTCAAGCCTGCCCCACAGGCAGATGCTAGATAATTTATTCTGTATTACTTGTTATGATTAGTATAAGATGCCTGTAATTGTCTATCTCACAGTGATCCAACTAAAAAGCAAAAAAAAAAAATAGTATGAGCAAAAGTGGCCACATGCTCCTGGGATGATAAAAATTTGAATAATTGGGGTCCAGAGCCATCCCTGCAGTGAGCTGCTTGGTTCCGAGATTCATTTTTGAGTCTCTGGATCATGGCCATTAATGCATTTAAGTGATATCTATATTCTTGTCCTCACACTTACCTCTTCCTCATAGGAAGGAGACAGTCCATTTCAAGGAAGCAGTGTGGGGACTCACGGTCCTTCATAGGACTCTATTCTTGTCTCTTTTTCTTTCTCCAGTGAATTCAGTAACCTGAAGACAAGCAAGCACTGACCCTGGAGATTCTGAAGGAAGTCTAATAAGAATCCCACTGCCATACCCTTTCTTCCCTACTACTTAATGAAGGAATATGGCACACAATAAGTTTATCTTAATTCATATTAGCATTGTCAGGAATTAAATATATAGGAAAGTAGTAGCCTAGGTTAATGCTGCTAATAATAGGGCTGGAGAGAGAGCACAGGGGTTAAGGCTCTTGCCTTGCATGCAGTAAATCCAAGTCAGTCAATCCAAGTCATTGCATTATGGTCCCCTGGGCACTACCAGGAGTCACCCCTGAGCACAAAGTAAAGAGTAATCCCTGAGCACTACAGGATGTGACCCCTCCAAACAAACAAACAAAATGTTGTTTACAATACTGTTTATGATAGTTGCCTTGAAAAGTTAAGTTTTAAAATTAAATCAATGCTAAATTAGATACCATTTTATTAAAATAAAGAGAGCTGAACATAGACCCAGAAGATTGTATCTGAAATTTAATGTTTACTTGTAAGAGAATTTGGAGTGAACTACTTTCTTAAAAGTTCAATTTTCCCCCATAATAATTATGATGAACTGGACATTCTTGTGGTCCCATGGAAAAGGGTAGATATATGTCACTGTCACTGTCACTGTCCTCCCTTTGTTCATCGATTTGCTCGAACGGACCCAGTATTGTCTCCATTGTGAGACTTGTTGTTACTGTGTTTGGCATACGAATACATCACGGGGAGCTTGCCAGGCTTGAAAGTCATATATAAAATGCAAAACATTGAATGCAGTGTGCTTGAAAGATAGCTACAAACTCTATTATTATCCTAGCCAGCTTTTTTGTGTGTGTTGTACTCTTTTCTTTCAAATTCTTTCAGAAAGCAGCATTCACCCCCTTCCAATGCTTTTCTGCTCCCCCTCTCATCGTTAATTATGTTTACTTTAAAAAATATCAGACCTTTCCTTTTGACTCCTACTGGCATAGCATTTCCAATATGTCTTCTTTAGTATATGCTGAAGAAACTCATGAATTTATAGGCTGTTTTCACATGAGACTTTATTGGATAAATGAATACTGGGGTGATTTGCCAAGTGTGATCATGTCTAATTTGTATGGTTCTTCTTTTGTTTCATTTTTCTACCACAGGACAAGAGCAATGGACATCCTAACATATGAGATGGAGAATACTGCTGAGACCTTTGGGACCACAACCTTTGACTACAAGTTGTCAGAGCCCTGTGAAAAAGTCAACATCAAGGAGCTGGGGGCCCAGTTGTTACCCCCACTGTACTCCCTCGTGTTTGTGGTGGGTCTGGTGGGCAATGTGGTTGTGGTGGTGATTCTGACCAAATACAGAAGACTCAAGATTATGACCAACATCTTCCTGCTCAATCTGGCTATTTCTGATTTGCTCTTTCTATTCACTCTGATTTTTGGGATTCATTATGTTCGGTGGAATGAGTGGGTATTTGGCCATATTATGTGTAAGGTCCTCTCAGGGCTTTATTACATGGGTTTGTACAGTGAAATCTTTTTCATCATCTTGCTGACCATAGACAGATATTTGGCCGTTGTCCACGCAGTATTTGCCCTCCAGGCCCGGACGGTCACTTTTGGTATCATAAGCAGTGTGTCTACCTGGTGCCTGGCAGGGCTAGCAGCCCTCCCTGAATTCATGTTCCAAAAATCTCAAGATGAGTTTGGACAGTATATTTGCAGCCCTGATTACCCTAAGGATGAAGAAGACACCTGGAAGCGGTTCCATGCTCTGAGAATGAATATCTTTGGTCTTGCTCTGCCTCTGCTGGTTATGGTTATCTGCTACACTGGAATCATTAAAACGTTACTGAGATGCCCTGGGAAAAAGAAGCAAAAAGCCATTCGGCTCATTTTTGTCATCATGGTTGTCTTTTTCATTTTCTGGACTCCCTACAACCTAGTTCTCCTGCTCTCTGCTTATCAATCTATCTTCTTTGAGGACAGCTGCGAGAGAAGCAAACAGCTGGACCTGGCCATGCAGGTGACTGAGGTGATTGCCTACACGCATTGCTGTGTCAACCCTGTGATCTACGCCTTTGTGGGTGAGAGGTTCCGGAAATATCTGCGCCACTTTTTCTACAGGCACGTGGCTATCTACCTAGGAAAATACATCCCCTTCCTTCCTAGCGAAAAACTGGAAAGAGCCAGCTCTATCTCTCCCTCAACAGGGGAGCAGGAACTCTCGGCTGCATTTTAGTTCAGATCAGGAAGTCACTGAATGAAAAATGTGCAGGGCAGAAGAATCTAAAGCATGTCAATCACATTGGCCTCTACTAGTTCTTCTGGCAGCAGTACGGAAACTCTGAAAGAAATTTCCGTATCTATCTATAGCTGTATGTACAGGGTGGCAAAATCAATACCACAGGGTCACAGGTGAACAGTTACTTATCTTCAAGCCTGAAAAGCAGAGCTTTGCTTAGTTCTATAAGTGTTACTTGTATTTTTAATATACTTAAATCTTGGATAGTTACTATAGGTAGCAACAAACAGGCCATTAAAAAATTAAACCTTATCTTTAGCTAGCATTAACATAAAGAAATAAATTTCAGAAATTACAATAAATTACTTTATTTCTTTGTGTCTCTGTCCTTACTTGATAAAAATTTCTCTTCTTTTTATTTTATGGATATGTACTCCAAGCAATCTATTGGCATGCCATACAAGTTCTGAGTATTTTTTTTTTTGGCTTTTTGGGTCACACCTGGCGATGCACAGGGGTCATTCCTGGCTCTGCACTCAGGAATTATCCCTGGCAGTGCTCAGGAAATATGAGATGCTGGAAATCGAACCCAGGTCGGCTGCATGCAAGGCAAACACCCTACCCGCTGTGCTATCACTCCAGCTCTGGTTCTGAGTATTTTTAATAGTGAATGAGTAACTATTCACACCTGATGATCAAATTTCCCATGAGCAAATGGGTATTTTCAGTAATAGAAACTTCTCAGAGCCCTAAAACATGCAAACACTGTCTTCTTAGACACAAGTCTGTTTATCCAACTGTTAAAGATAAGGCAGTGTGGGAAAACAGCTATGAGAAATGAAAAACAGTCTCCATTGTCTAGATCAAAACAAGAGGCCTGAGGTTCCAACAAATTAGACTTGTAGCTACCAACCTCCTGATTTAAAAAGGCACCCAAAAATGCTCTACATTGCTAATCATCAGGGAGATATAAATCTAAACAATAATGAGATATCATCTCACACCACAAAGATTGGCAAATATCAAAAAGAACAAGAACAACCTAGCACAATCTAGCACAGATGCAGAAAGAAAGGAATTCTCATTTATTGTTGGTGGGGATGTGTTTTTGGAAAAAATATGAGTATCCTTCCCCCCAAAAAAAACCCCTAGAAATTGATCTTCTATATGACCCAGCAATTCCACTTCTGGGAATATACCCCAGGGACACAAAAATACAAGGCATAAATGCCATCTACACTCTATGTTCATTACAGCATTATTCACACTAGCTAGAATCTGAAAACAACCCAAGTGCCTTAGAACAGACGACTGGTTAAAGAAACTATGGTACATCTATACAACTGTTAAGTACTATGCAGCTGTTAGGAAAAATAAAGTCATGAAATTTGATTATAAATGGATGGACATGGAGAGTATCATGCTGAGTGAAATGAGTCAGAAGGAGAGGGACAAACATAGAATGACTGCACTCATTTGTGGGATATAAATAAAAACAACATGAGACTACTACCCAAGGACAGTAGAAACAAAGGCCAGGAGGACTGAAGGCCTGCCTTATGTGCTGGGGAAGAAGGCAGTTGGGATAGAGAAGGGATCATTATGACAATAAAAGTTAGGAATGATCACTCTGAATAAGAACTGTGTGCTTAAAGTAGGTAAAGGAACGAACATGATAAGCTCTCAGTGTCTGTATTGCAAGCTACCGAGAGTATCTCGCCCGCACGGCAAAGCCTGGCAAGCTCCCCGTGACGTATTCGATATGCCAAACACAGTAACAATTGTCACACTGGAGACATTACTGGGTCCGCTGGAGCAAATCGATGAACAACGGGAGGACAGTGGCAGTGACAGTGACAGTCTGTATTGCAAACCATAATGCCCAACAGTAGATAGAGAAAGAAGAAAGGTGCCTGCTATCATGGCATACTAGGGGTTTGGGGGATGGCTGGAGAGAAACTGGGTACATTGGTGGTGGGAAATGTACAATGGTGGAGGGATGGGTGCTGGAACATTGTATGACTGAAACTCAACCATGAACAGCTTTGCAACTGTGTATCTCATGGTGATCCAATAAAATTTTTTAAAAATTTTAAAAGAGAATTTTTATGTGTTTATTTTATTTATTTTTTTATTAGTGAAACACCATGAGGTACAGTTTTAGACTTACAATTATTTGTGCTTGGGTTTCAGTTATACAACGATCAAGTACCCATCCCTCCACCAGTGTCCATTCTCCACCTCCAGTGCTCCCAGTATCCCTACCACCCCCCTCATCCCCCCCATCCCACCCCACCCCTGTGGCAGGGCATTCCCTTTTGTTTTCTCTCTCCTTTTGGGTGCTGTGGTTTGCAAAAAAGGCATTGAGTGGCAATCATGTTTGGTTTATAATCTACTTTCAGCATGCATCTCTCATCCTGGGAGGATCCTCCCAACACCCTTTATTTGGTACTCCCTTCTCTACCTGAGCTTCCTTTTCCCCTAGCATGTGTGGCTGGCCTCCAAGCCATGGATTTAACCTCCTGGTACTTATCTCGACTATTTTGGGTGTTGGTCTCCTATTTTGTTACTTTACATTCCCCAGATGAATGCAATCTTTCTATGTCTGTCCCTCTCTTTCTGACTCATTTCACTTAGCATGATACTCTCCATGTAGTACCATTTGTATGTAAATTTCATGACTTCATCTTTTCATCATTCACCAACGTGCCTTGGTGCAAGCCTCAGGCAAACGCAAGCGATCCTCTGAGCTCGCAAAGTAGCGCAGAGAAGCCATAAAGGAAGACCTCAAAAAGAGACGAGCAGCAGTGCTGGCAGATGTGGCAGAAGCTGGGAAATGCATTCACAACACCTTTCTGTCCTTCGCCAACTACGAGACCAAGATGACTGCCCTCCGACATCCTGATGGATCTATCACATCTTCCAGAAGGGCAATGGAGAAGATAATCAATCCATGACTTCTACTCGGATCTCTTTGATAGCCACGTCCACCTGCCCACATACCAAATTCTGCAGGATGGATATGTCATTCCCAAAGTTCTCCCTTCTGAAATCCGACACACCATTTGGTCTGTAAAGAAACAAACAGCACCTGGCCCAGACAAGGTCAGACCTGAACACTTGAAGAACCTGTCATCAATACTCATCAATACACTGGCTCGGCTCTTCACATGCTACCTGTCTGAATGCAAGGTTCCGTCCCAATGGAAAACCAGCAGGACTGTACTACTGTACAGAAGGGAGACATCCACGACATTGGTAACTATTGCCCTATCTGCCTGTTGTCTGTCGTCTACATGCTGTTCACTCGAGTCATCCTGAATAGGATTGGCAGAACACTAGATGAAGGACAATCATGAGAGCAAGCTGGTTTCCGAAAAGGATTTAGCACAATTGACCATATCCACACGATAACCAAGCTCATTGAGGTTTCTCGGGAGTTCAAGATGCCACTCTGTCTAAAGTTCATTGATTTAAAGAAGGCCTTTGATTCTGTTGAGACTGAAGCCGTCATCGAGGCCCTAGCCAAACAGGGTGTTCAATGTCAATATATCAGGATCCTCCGTGAGCTCTATTATGGACTCACTACCAGGATCTCACCATTCTAAGGGAGGTAATCATTAACATCAAGAGAGGGGTTTTGCAGGTTGATACCATTTCACCAAAACTCTTTAGTGCCACCCTCGAGAACGTCATGCGACGACTGGAATGGGAAGGAATGGGAGTGAAGATACATGGTTGACAACTACACCACCTCCGCTTCGCGGATGACATCGTTCTTATAACACTAAACATCAGCCAAGTGGCACAAGTGCTAGCCAACTTCAACCATGAGTATGGAAAGGTCGGACTACTGCTGAATCTCACAAAGACAATGTTTGTGAGAAACGGTCTTGTTCCTGACATTCCATTCACTCTCAATGGCACGAACATCTCTGAATGCAACAGTTATGTGTACCTAGGTCGAGAAGTCAACATAACGAATGACCTGGCACTTGAGTTGCGCAGGAGGAAGAGTAGCTTGGAACGCCTTCAAGAACGTCAAAGAAATAGCTAAGAGGACAAAGAACCTCTGACTCCAGGCACACCTCTTCAATTCCACTGTTCTTTCTGCATTAACATACGCCTCAGAGACTGGGCCCTACAAAAACAGGATGAGAACACTATCTGGGTCTCCCAAAGAGAAATCAAAAGAGCTATGCTTGAGCAACGAATGCTGGCGCGGATGTGGCGAGAAAGGGACACTCCTTCACTGTTGGTGGGAATGTCGACTGGTTCAGCCCTTCTGGAAAACAGTATGGACGATTCTCAAAAAATTAGAAATTGAGCTCCCATTTGACCCAGCAATACCACTCCGGGAATATATCCCAGAGAGGCAAAAATGTATAGTAGAAGTGACATCTGCACTTGTTTGTTCATTGCAGCACTCTTTACAATAGCCAGAAACTGGAAGAAACCTGAATGCCCAAGAACAGATGACTGGTTAAAGAAACTTTGGTACATCTACACAATGGAGTACTATGTAGCTCTTAGAAAAGATGAAGTCATGAAATTTACATACAAGTGGTACAACATGGAAAGTATCATGCTAAGCGAAATGAGTCAGAAAGAGAGGGATAGACATAGAAAGATTGCATTCATCTGGGGGATATAAAGTAACAAAATATGAGATTAATACCCAAGAATAGCTGAGATCAGCACCAGGAGGATTACTCCATAGCTTAGTGGCCAGTCGGGCATTCTAGAGGAAAGGGCAGCTCAGATAGAGAAGGGAACACCAAATAAAGGATGTTTGGAGGATCCTCCCAGGAGGGGAGATGCATGTCGAAAGTGGACTATGGACTGAACATGTTTGCCACTCAATGCCTCTTTTGCAGACCACAACACCCAAAAGGAGAGAGAGAACACAGGGGATTGCCCTGCCATAGAGGCAGGGGAGGATGGGGGGATGGGGGTGGGGGGGATATTATCCATGGTGGTGGAAAATGGGCACTGGT